TAATTACTAAGTTAGTTCAAGCCAAGTTCTTTACTACAGAGATTTTGCTGATGCTACATCACTGGCAATACTAGCATCACTGGCACTGCTTTTCACAGGCCTTTGTTTTAATTTCTTTCCATTGCCCAATCCTCAAATCAAATGAGTACTTAAGGAAGCTAATGAGCCTTTCTGACTTAGCTCTCTGTGTAAATACTACTCTGGATGTAAAACAATTTTCATGGACTGCTCAAGCATATGAAGACAGGCATATCTGGATCTGTCAATCTGGTAGAGAAAGAGCTTGTGCATAAAGCACTTATAGAGGAGCTAGTTTTGAGCAAGCAGGAGGGACACTAGGTAATGTCCCTTCTACCTATTAGAAAGAGATAATCAGTGTCCTCCTTTAACGTCATTTACCATTCAGATTTAAAAACCTAGCCATTCACACTATCGTGAGGAACTGCTTGTTAGACAAGATTTCTCCCTTTACTTTCCTGCATTTTTACGAACCTTTCCTACAAATGGTCCTTTCTGGTTTAGGGAACCCATCTGTAGCTCTCCTTTAATATGTCTGTACAGAGTTTTCTTCAAGATCAGTGTTCGACAGCTTTTCTAATAAGGTCAGTGCATCTCTGATCCTTTTTTCTACAAAAATACTCTTTTTTGCTTTATACAAACACTGCCTTTCTATTGCTAGAGTGATTGCTTCTCCTCTTTCTAATGAATGAAATAAAATATCAGAACAAGCAAGATGCACAGTAATCAACCAGAGAAATTAAATGAGGTTTAGGTGTGTCGTGTCACATCAGGTGTGTGTGGGTGTGTCCCAAAAAAACCTGAATGGAGGGAACAGAGCATAACATTCCTTCAGCTTAATTGGTATAATGAAAGCTCTTCAGAGGTTCCGAGTCAGTCAATACTTTTAATTGAATGATGCATGAAATCATTTCAATTGAAAAGCTGGAGAGTCAGCGTTACCTTATCTTATCATAAAGCACCAAGGATTGTTCAACACCTCCTAAGTGTCTGAAAAAAGAGGGCCTTAACCAAGTCTACTATTCAGTAAATTCCTCAGTGGGTAAATAAAAGGATCAGATCATTAGAGGAGGTATATGGACAGTTTCTGCTGATCCTCTCTAGGGGATTTAATTATTTTTCATTTCCTTTATTACATGTGAGAGGGGTCAGATCACTTTTGTAACAAGTAAGATTTTATGTCATTTTTCAGCTGGCAAGGTAAATGATTATGGCTTTTTTCCCCTCTAGCACCAAACAGGCTATTGCTAATGTCTGTTACGTTAATAGAGTATGCAATGTTAAGGAATATAAGATATTTATAACAAGTTATGATAGAGCTATGTCCTGAACAAATCAAATATAAATTTTTAATGAATTGGTCCCAGAGGCTATTAATTTAGTTATAAGGTACAAAACTAGCAAATATATTCACTCTCAGGCACTGAAGGACAAGAAAAAGATCACCCATGGTCAGATGCTGTTGTACACTTCTAAAAGAAAAGAGTATGTTAGAAGGCTACATACAGTTTAATTTCAAAAAGATATCCTAATAGTGTCCATAAATATAAGCAAACAATTACTTTTTCCACAAGATGCTTCTCCATAATCATATAAGGCTGAAAATATCCACTGGTAAAACCTAGATGTCGGGAAAGCTCCTTGTTAGATTTAGCATCTTTTACAGCAAGTAATACTATATCCGTAGTCACAAAGTTTTCAGTTCCTTCTGGGAAGCACAGAATTTAGAGAATGATCACCTTTTTGCTTATTTGTGTGCATGTACATACAAATACATTTTTGGTTGATTGATTCTAAAGGAATATTTCCTTGAGATACTTTCTTCACAAAATTCTATAGGCTAGTTTTAAAAATTGCTTTGAAAGTATACCATCTTTTCTCTAGAAAAAGGATGTTCAAATTCTACAGAATTGGAGTGATTTCACCCTGTTAAGTTTCATAGCCTCTTTATAAAGGTTTATAGTAAAAACCTAAGGAAATTAATAGTGATAAAAATCCCACATTCTCCAGATCACATTGTAAATTTTAAACTATTTTCTGTAGCTTTATTAGACTACCTACAGAATTCAGTACCAAGTAAGAGATTTTTCCAATCAATCAATTAATCACGGCAGGGTTTTTTTTTTTTTTTTTTGGTGTTGAAGGTTGACTTCAAACTTACAACTCAGTCTGGGACATATAATAGTTACATACAGACAAATTAATTTAGTCTATCTCTAATATCACTATGTGGCTTGTTATTATATAAGTCTTTATTCCATACAGTTTATTTTACTTCCTTTCTCTCCCTCTCCTTCATGCTGACGCTCCAAGTTCTCATTTCATCTTTACTTGTCTCAGTCACCCTTCAGGATAATCTGTCCATACTTTTCTGTATACCTGCTTAGTATAACAGCACTGACATTGCATTACCACTGTCAGAAATGTTACAGTGGAAAACGTCAGAAGTTATTTAATTACCCTGTATTTGCCACTCATTTTATCAAAATGATGTTCCTGTACACCCCCACGCTTATAGAAAATAAACATAGAAGATTACACTACATTAACCAGTCATTCTTATCAAAATGATATTCCTGATGATATTCCTGGTAAATATAAAAGATTGAATTCTCTCTTTTCTCTGGCTCTTGATCACTAACATAGGTGCACCTGAAGTTACACCTCCCTGAATCAAACTGAGCCTGATCTCTCCCAGAAATGCCCACTCAGTAGGGCAAGTGATGTCACCACTGTGTGTTACAGGCAGGTCCGAGTGACCACCTTCAGCGAGGCTCTCCGACAGTGACAACTTCGAGAATTGTTCTAGTTGTCTGCTAGAGGACAGCATGTCTGGCATCCACCATCAAGAGACCAGGCTCTATGCCAGTAAAAGCTTACACAGATAGAGTTGTGGCCGAGTCTGCTTCGTTTTTTTAAGAAACCGTGTGCATCACACAAGCAACACAGGCAGAGTGTCACATCCATACCAGTATGGCTTTTGCCCCTTCTATAGGCTATTCTAGAAATACATTGGATAACACATTATTCCCCAACATATTTGTTGTCCTTTGTGATTCTTGGCAGCCTCCAGTAATTTTTTTTTCATGTTTCAATTGCCACATAAACCATTAAAAGCTCCCATAAACACAAATATTAATGTACTGATAATGCATGCTCCTATATGCTGCCCTTTCACTGCAGTTCTGCTCTGTATAGAGTGCTGTAAAACAGCATCTTAGCATTTTGCATTCCTGTTCTCTCAGTTACTTTAATATGATTAATTAAGTTCTAAGTTTAAAAGTCAAAAGTTACTTACTTTCCTGCCTGCCAACCTGCAAATATGGTTTTAAATCTGAGAATCAAGCTGGGTTATCAATTACTTCATCAGCAATAGTCAGCAAAAGTTGAATCTGTTGGTTAACTCTGTTTAGCGTTATCTACAGAAATTCTCAGAGTGCTTCCTATGCTAAAGATATAAAGTTAAAATCTTCTTAGAAGTGTTTGGAAACAATCTGTCACTGTTGCACAACATGGAAAAATGTTCATGAATATTCATGAAAAAATCTATTCTCATTTATACCTTAGAATGATATTTATGCTAATTTTAGCATCATAATATTCAGAAAATATGGTAATAAGGTGGAAGTCCAGGAAAACCAGGATTCAAGCTTGTTGTCTGGATTCACTGCCTCTGATCAACACCTTGGTGAAAGTTTAATTCAGAAAGCCAGGACCAGCCAATGAAGAAAAGGTGAAAGAGAAGGACTAGAAATCAAACAAGGCAGAAGTAAAAATTTCAACTAGAGCCACCGACTGCTACGTGACAAATAAAACTCCTTTGCAGAAACTTAGGACAACAGCAACAAAACGGAAGAGTAACAAATTCTAGTTGGAGCATCCCCAATTGCTTAGTCCACTCCCTTTTCTATGGCACACGCGATTCGCATTAGGCCACCACCTTTTGCTGTCGTTGGCTCCACTGAAAGAGCAAGCAGGAAGTCAAAAGTTACTGTTAGAAGACCAACAAGGTGCGAGGAGAATATGTTCCTCCTGACAAAGCTAAAGCACTTTGGCTCACGTTCTGGCTAAATTAATAACATTCCACATCCTATGTTACGTGGAAGGAATTTTAAAACATCTTCTAAGTTAATTTCTCTCTAGCAAGTACCTCAGAACTCAGAATACTGCTATATTTCACAAACACTTTACTGACAACTCAAATATCTAATTGTTACCTGATTATTCAGCAACATTTTTCACTACTCTGAAACGAGAAATTAAGCAAGAACACCCAAAAAAATTAGTGAAAGAAGAAACAACAACAACTAGCTGTATTAAACATCTCATTAAAAACATTTATAGCGTGATAAAATAGCACAAAGGGAAGACATCTGGATGACAATTTAATTTATAAACTGCCTTCTATCCATTAATCTCAGGGCCTTTGAAGTCTTCCAGAAATTTCATTCCAGGACAGTAAATGTTATAAGTCCTTTCACTAAGGGGTAAACTGGGGTGCAGAAATATTTTCTCTATCTCTGAAGTCACTAAAAAATAAAAATATGCTAAGAAAACAAAATAAGCAGAATGAAACCAACACTTTCTGTTCTCCACTCTCCCACAACATTCAGCATTATCTGAACAAAACAAAGATATTTGAAGTTGTCCTCATTAAGTTACAAAAAAAGGAGTACAGAAAAAAGAGAATAAGCAAAGGAACCCCTGCTATCACTGTTACCCTCTCGAAATGCAAGGGCGTCATAAAGGCGTTAACTTCAGCCTTCATCCATTACCATCAGCTTATGATGTGTTCACAGCTGATACAACAGTCCCTCTCTCTCACCCAATTTATGAGTGCTGTAGTAACCACCAATAAATAACTAAATACTGGCTGTGTGATCTATGCTGGTTTCAGCAACCAGAAGTTCTTTCCACTTGGAAGATCCTTCCAAGTTGTAATACTTCAATACAAGGGTGGGCCTTTTTGTTTCTGTTTGGGGGGGGGGGGTGTTTGTTTTTAATACACAAAATGCTAATACCTTTTCCCATATCAACCTGTGTGAGAGCACTGGTGGAGGAACAGATGATTGGGAGATGAATGCCATACATAGCGTAAGTAGTACAAATTGCTCAGTGAAAGCCATTCTGTCATTGTTGCAAATATCCTCACTGGTGCATGGGATACTGGGAAGAAAATGTCACTCTCCCTTAAACTCTGGAGATGGCAGAGCCTGCTACATTACAAGCAAGAGCTTTCACACAGATTTCTAGCCCCGCCATAGAGAGGATGGCCAAATGTCGATCTTGAAGTCCTATGGTAACATAGGTTCTGCCCTCATTAAAGAGGGGTAGCAAAAATGTGGGAACAGTGTTGTCTCTTGATCCAAATAACCACATTTCAGTAGGTAATGAGAAATATCAGCATTCATGTTCCTCTGAATTAAGAAGACACTATGTTTGTTCCTACTGCATGGAAAGAAGTTGTTGCTTCTCTGTCCGACAGAGGAGGTGTTTCTGCTCCATGCAATGATTTTCCTGCTGTAGCTGCCTAGGAAGTAAAGAGAAGGCTAGAATTTGAAACAGAAATATTATCACTGCAGAAGGACAATGACTCCTATGCATGCAGCAGTGGGAGATTCTCTAGTAAAAAGGTATCTGACAGTGCCTGGGAACCACAGCACATTACCTAGTTGGTGCCTTTCTAGGGACAGACAAAGCACCCCGTGAAGAGATACCCACCTGCTCTGCATCTATTCAGGATTGCAATATTGCTCAGCTGTGCATATTACTGTTCAGATTTGTTGCGTCTCACAGGATGTGCAAGAGAGACCATATCTATGTGCACAGAAGCTGCTTGGAGCTGAGTTCCTAGCTCTCCTGAAAGCATAAGTCGACCGATGAGGCAACTCTTACACACAATTGATTGTGGACTATTAACCTATGCTCAGAAATCAATATTCACTTTAACACCACATTTTAACAGGCCAATGCAGCAGAAAATAACAGCAGTTACACAGTGCACACTTTTACACTCAGAATAAACAGGTCATGAAATAGAACCTGGCAGAGGAGGAGGACATGGGGGGGAGGGGCAGTGATAGCTGAGTATGCGGGGAGGTACAAGGTAATTCCAGCTCCCAGAAGCCTTTGCACTGAATGTCCCAGGGGATTTGTGGTAACTACAGCTTCAGTGAACCTATATGCTTTCTCAAAACATTCCTAAGAAGGCACGCCCTTAGGCCAGACAAAAGGTCATGGTTGCCTGTATAAGGCTAAATTTACTGGGGCTTAGTACAGAAACTCATCCTAACCCACAAAACCCAAGTCTGTTGCTAGCCATGGTAGCGGATAATAAATGGTTGCAAGGGGCAAAACAGACAGCAGGAATTTAAGCTGGGGCACAATGTCCTTGATCTGGGATGGTATTTTTCATATGTTTAAAAAATGGATTTGAAAAACTTGAAAAAGGGAACTGAATGTAATACAGAACTGATGTTTAACGGGAACTTTATGTGTATGTAGTTGCAGCCCATCCTGGAGTGTGAGGACTTTTAGTTTTTAGGATGGTATGCTGTACTCTGTGCCCGAGAAAGAGCTCGAGAAGATGGGGCAGTAGCACACTGTGTCAGGTTCCTCCCTGCAGTCAGAAACCAAACCCTATGTACAAGTTCTGAAAGAATTCAGACTTACGTTTTAAAATATTGCCCTTGAATATTATCCTGACTGCTTGTTCCTCAAAATGCTAACACGGCAGAAGCAACGGTGGGCAGCAAATCTGCAGCTGTCAGTGCGAGCAAGTCAGGGGGAAAGTGAGGTGTAAGTTGCAGGGAGGTTTTCAGTGACTGCTGTTCTGGGTTAAGGCTGTTCCATTCCTCTTTTCTGGAAGCTGTCTGTTTTCCAAGAGTAAATTAATAGGGAGGATGCCTGGATATGGAATAAGATTAATAACATGGGAAGGAAATATGCCGTTTGTGTCAAGTTAAGGTGGGCTGAGCAACAGGGGCAGGAACAGAGCCAGAGATGGCCAGGAAATAGCAGCTGCAGAATATACAGAGGAGGCCATAGGCATACTGCTGTGTTCAGAGATGTCTCGCTGTGTCTTCAATTCAGTCACCTAGGAAATGAAAAGGAGGAATGAATCCTAGTTAGACTTATTTGGGCTCAATCATCTGGCTGCACAGCCTGCAGTTCTGAGCACTGACATGAGACTATAGGAAACCTCTGTGGCCAGGCAGTATGGCCTCCTATTTTTGCTTGTCTGTGGAAAAAATAGCTTGAGTTGAGGTGGCCCAGTGTTCTGCACACATGCAGCTTCCTCCCTTTGGTGTCCAAAGTGACACGTTTCTAGGTGCTGGCTTTTTCCAAATGTTCTGTCTAGACCACTTTACTCACTGCTTTGTGCAGACAACAAAGCAATGCATACCTGGGACATTTCTGAAGCGAGAGATGTGCTGGCACTGTCTCCTTGGAAGCTTAGGGAAGATGAATAAAACAATTCTTCCTGCCTCTCCAGAGCTGTGTGCTTCAGGCGCATTTGAGACCAAATTGCATTTTCTGCAAACAAAAGTAAAGCAAGAGTCTTACATGCTTTTCTGGTGCACACCTTTAGAGTCTAGCGCAAAGAAATCTAAGGGAGCTATTTTAGGAAATGTACTCACAGTCTGTATGGCTGCCTTTTGATATAGAGAATGCATATTCTTTGTTCAGTGAGTGGCTATGAGTGGCCTGTTATTGTGTGGGTTTACTTGTGAGACCCAGAACAGACTGCAAAGTAGACTTGCCCTGTACTTGAGGACTTTTGGGTCCATGTGGGAGTTTGCCAGCTGTCTATTTCCTAAGGGGCAGATATTACATATCTCAGGTTGGCTGTTTATGCTGTAGGTGTATCATCTGTGGTGCTGGGTGTAAGGTTTTTCTATATAGCAATAAATAGATTTAAATATTAATTATTTGATGATGCTGGTTTCCTTATGTGATGTCCTTTGGAAGCTTTTACAAACATAAAATATTCTAAATCTTATTAAAGTCTTTTACTAAAATGCCAGGGACATAAAAGAAATGCAGACTTAGGATTGCACAGTTGTATGTAACAGGATTTGGGATCTACTGCTATGATGCTGACCCTAAACACAGGGGCTGTGTCAGGAGTTACTTGTCTTGTCCTGATAAGTGAAGGTCAAAGACAAGCATAGGAAAAGAGAAAGGAGAAAAGAAGAAAAGTAAAACTCCCATAATCTTAGTGCATTGATGTTGCTACGCAGCAACCTATGGATACAGCACATCTGAACCCCTTTACTGATTTTCTTTTGAAACCCTTTCATTGAAGTATTGTGTGGAAATGGCTTCAGGGACAAGTGTTTGAGATGAAAAGATGTTTTGGTAAAAGATACAGAAACACTTCTGAGAGCAGATGCAGGCTGGTCCCATAGATTGGGTAGGACAGCATGGACACACTTCAGAGGAACAGGCAAACTATATGTAGGAGAAGTGCAATGTAGGATCTTGAAATCAACGTGATTTGAACTTCCCTAAGCTGAGCTATTATTCCTTGATTTCTTGTTATGTGACACTTACCAAGGCATTTGTTGCTTTCAAACATGCCGAGTATCTGGTCGCACTTCTCCTTCTGGTTGCCACTGCTCTCACATGTACACCACAGGGAGACCTCCACACTGGAGTTACTGACGTAGTTGGGTGTCATAGGCGTGCCTGTCCCAAACCGCCAGAAAGTGGAATCAGGTTTTACTTCACCAAATGAAAGAAGTATGATTAGTCCTGTTATACTGAAGGGAAAGCTGCCCTGGGGCCATAAGCCTTCCATGATGATGTGCATGTTGGCCAGGAGAGGTCAGGAGCCCCCTGCAAGGCTACTCAGAAAGTCTGTTGCACCTACGTGCAGTCTGCTGCTCTGTGAGAGTGTGTGGAGACTGCTGCCTCTAATTCGGGCAATCTGATGGTGGGGTACATTGATAACTGAAGCAGGTGAAAACTTCAGATTGGAGGATGTGAAACATCTGCAGAGACTCAACTGCAATACTGCTATATGGCAGCAAAAGGTTCTCCTGCTTCTCAGGTAGCTGTCAACACTGTGCGGCCAAATGTCTTTTGCCAGACAAATGCTGCACAGCCTTACTGTGCCATTTAGCCAGAGTTCACTTAGCATGAGAACAGCAAAGATATCTGGAAAACCAAAAGGTATTGTCTAGATCCTGAGCTGTTCCTGCTCTCTGCAACTCCCTTTTTAACAAGATGCGTGTGGTACTGATCCATAGGAAGCCACTCTCAGGAAGTATTAGCAGGTTGGCAGTGAATGTCTGAACCAAGACAACCTTCCCTCTAACAATTGGCAGTGCTCTGTATGCCTGTTGTTCTTGCTAGCTCTGAGAAGCTAGTGTGTACAATTTCAACAAACCATGGGAGTCTAAAAGTCAAACGAGGGAATGTCAGGTTTAACAAGGATCCTACAACTGGATTCTACTGTGATTGCAAAGCTTAATGATGTAGCTCCTGCTTCAGGAATGGCTTGTTCATACAGCCAGAGAGGGCTCTGGGGGTCAAGCATTTACAGCAGTTTGCACCAGCATACAGGAGTGCAAGAATCCTGGGGCAAGTGCTACTGCTCTGATAGCAGAGGATGGGACTAAGTAGAGCGACAAACCTCATGAGGGAGCTCTGGGCTGCCTTTACGTCACAAGCAAGAAGGAGCGCTAGCATCAGTCAGGCTAAGGCATATTCATTGGCACACTGAGCATTATCATCTGCAGCAGAGCAAGACAGTCTTCCCCAACATGAGGAGGAGCGTACTTGCAAGTTTATTACCTATAGGCATCCACCCTATATTTTACTGTGGGTATCACTTACCAATCATCCCCATGTAAGCCTGCAGGCATGCAGCATGGTTGTGCTGAGAGCAACCATCTGGAGACATGTCTGTAGGTTGGCAGTTTTGTTGGAAATCAGCCAGTCTGGATCTGTAGGAAGGAAAACAAGACCATCAGTGTCTATGCTGTTCTCTTCTTTTGGCTAATGTCCTCTGCTGCTGGACCTACTTGCAGATGTGGTCTTCTAAACATGAGTCCAAAAGCCACAGGCAATTTGGTTTGGTGTTATACTGGAAGGAACAATCAGGGACGATAGTTTTCCGGCGTCGTTCCCCACAGAGTTCATCCTGACATGGGCAGAATAGGATCCTTTTGGTGAAATCCTCAGGGACTTTCTCAAAGAAATTCCTTAGCCCTCTGTGGCATTTGCGACGATCACATGTATCTTCACTTCCTGCTCCCTTGGTGCAGATAGAGGCATAGTCTGTGCGCAGACGAACACACTTCTTGCTCAGATTACAGACATGAGTTGCTTTCAGGCATGGATTTGTTGCATCTCCTGCTAACTGTGAGCCTGTGAAGCAAAAAGAAACCCAGAAACAATGAAGCAAGTCTCAAAGAGAAGTGGAGTGGAAGCCCTTACTTACTAGATGTTCAAATTGGGAACATCAGAGAAAACAAAGCAATTTAGTTCTGCCATGTGCCTGTAGTATGACATTGCAGTGATACTAGTTACAAAATCACCTTTTTTTATTGGTGATGCTAGGGGGTTTGTTTCAGAGAATGCATCATTGTGGGTTACTTCCTGTTTCATGGGGCCTGGATCCATGGCAATATTTACACTTGGTTGGGACCATATATAGGCAAGTATCCAGAGAAAGCATTCCTCTGATTTTTTAAAAGTGTCATTACCCAAAACATTTTTCTCCCTTAATAAATTTTAGCCCCTGAAAAGTTAAGAAAGGGCAGCACTATATCATGCAGCCTGTTACAATCCCTACCTGATACCAGAGCTGCCAGTTTATTGTAATCGGTCTTCCAGTGTTCTTCATTTGCTGGATTCTCATAGGGAGAGGTCTCCAAATTGAAATAACCTAAGCAAGACACAAAAAATGTTACTGCTCTGTGACCAGCATATGCTTTTGGACTGACTTTCTTATTTGTGCTTGGCTGTTTCCTCAGGCTGGAGTTTGGAGATGCTCAGAGCCAAATGCCAAACATGGTTCTGCTGGAGATGCAAAGATGTTACTGCACAGCAACAGCATTACATGTTGTCATTAGATTTCCTCTAGCTGGGATTTGGTCTGTGTGGGCTATCTCGATGCTAGTGAGGAGATTAGCAGCAAAGGAAGTCCCTAGTGGAAGTCCAAGCAGAAGCATCCCAGTGAAGCTGGAGAAATGCAGCAGCCTTAAGGATGCGATGACATTGTGTGTCATAATCTCATGCCCATTTCCAGGGATGGACAGAAGGACTGAAGTGATTTTCACAGGAGTCTCCCCTCACAGCACTGAATTTAAGTCTCTAAGTAGCTATCTTTGTTTAGTAGGGCCCCTGGTATATTTGAAGGCCAGTCCCAGACCAGATCAGTTTTCTGCGCTTATCAGAGCAATAACAACTCCTTTTCACTAGGAGATGTGGTTCCAAAGTGATACCTGTAATGTTGGGAAGTAGCCTCTGACATTTGTTTTCAGGTGTGTGGGGAGGGGGCGCTTACTAACACCTTGTAAATTCATAATTATTTCATCTCACCATCTGTCATGCTGGAGTGAACGGTCCAGAAAACACGTAAGCAATGCTCCTGTCTCCTCATGCGCCGGTGACACTTGCAGTGCAGTAAAGAGCTGTTTCTAAGGACTAGCTCTGCATTCAGACACCTGTCCCTGCTATCGTGATCCAGTGGAAGGAAGCGAGTCTCAGCAAGGGCACAGTTTTCCAGGATCCTGTAGGTGGCATTGCAGGTGGAGTCTGAGAGGCACAGCTGTTCTGCTGCTATGCAATCACTCCTTGGCAGAGCCAGGAGGTCTCCTAGTCAAACAGGGAAAAGACTGTTAGGATTTCAGTCATGGTGAATGCCACACAAGCACCTTGTCATTGTTACTGTTGGGATCCTCTATTCAGCAGGCTCCTCAAGAGGCAGAACTGGTTGGGGTCCTTTGTACAGAGTAGTAGGGAACAAGCACGCTAATCTTTTAGAAACAAAAGGATGAGTATTAATGGATGAAAGGGAGAAGAAAAGACCAAAGAAAAATTTTAAAAAATGATTTTGTATAATGAAACCTTTTTTATCTGCCTTAACTTTTTCAACCTGGTCAGGGTCAGGAGGGCTCTGTCTCTGCCTGGAGCAGTAATTTGCCCTTTGGAAACCTCAGTGTTGCTGAGGGGTGCTTTGAAGGAGCTTTCCCATCTCGGTCGCTTAGAACCTCAGTGAAATAAGCAAGTATTAACACCATACTGTGTGCTGTGAGTGAGTGCTGCTGCCATTGCCAAGAGATGCACTGAGAAAGCCATTTGAAGGGTGGAACAGAAACTTATTTGCATAATAGAAGAAACCCTTAATATTGGATGCAAGTAGTTTCATACTGAAGAAGTGCCAATATGTAATCAATTTACAGTATATAGAACCCAGTCTCACAATTCCCTGCCAGAAATGCTGGGATGCATGCTTGGTCTGCCTGCCTTCATCTGTTGGTCCCTTCTGAACTCTGACTGCATGTGTGTGTTTATGCATATTTTGTAACACGCACATGCATGCTTAGCTATATATTTAAATATATTAACACACACATACCTTTTTATTATGGGAAGCCTATAACATAATTCTTCCCTATGAAGGTAATTAAATAATCTCAATTCAACAGTATCATCTTTAAAACTTTACAACTCCTTTTTTTGTTTTTTTGTTATATGGACTCTGCTCTCTCCAAAGAAGAATATTTGGGGAGGAGAAGGGGGTTCTGGTATTATTTTGTCTCTGGCAGAAGTCAATGGTAGGCTAATTAACTCCATAATCTTTCTTCATTTCTGTAGCATGTGAATCTGTGTTTACAGTACAAGTACAATGTTTGCTAATAGAATTTATATGCAGGCTAGGGTGCTTCTTCCCTTTAGGACAATACTGCTCTGCTGGTTTTCGGAAATGATTGCTCTGAGCCTAACATCTACCTTTGATGTTCTTTGGATATATGTTCTCGCCTGTCATTTCCTTGTTCAGCAGATGCAGTACTTCTTTTTCAAATCTGCCTTCTCTAGAGCTTAGAAAAAATCTTGATGTAGCTCATATCTTGTATACTGTCTTCACTATCTAGTTTGTTTTCTCACTTTCTTCTCTCTCGCTGGCTTCAACAGTTTATCTGCCATAAGCAGTGGCCCATGCAATTCCATGCTAGTCTGCTCCTCAAACTGTCTAGTTTTCTTCCAGCCCGCTAATGCTATCTAGGTGTCTTCCTCCCACTTGAACATTTTTCTTGGCTTTTCTAGCAACTCATTCTACTTTGTTAACCTGGCTATGATGTAGAGACTGTATGACTTGGTAAGCTGTCTGGGGAAAAAAAAAAAAAACCTCTCACCAGAAATGTTTTGTACCTAGCACCATGGGTTTTGGTTAGTCATTACATCTAGGCATTACCTTAATAACCATGCTGAGTGTGATTACATCCTATGAGGTTGCAAACAGTGCAAATTTCCAATACTAATGGGTCCATTATCTCCAGTAGGTTGGAATTCTAAGCTGAGCAAACTGATCTACTCCACCAGGCAAGATCAAAGTACCATCTCTACCAGTATCCCATCTCCAACAGTGGCCTGCAGCAGCTACTGTAGTAAGTTTATAAAAGAACAGGGCATACTTTCCTAGCCTTAAGAATTCTGTTCAACATTCACCTGAGTCTGAAGTGACATTTTTGAAATTTCAAAGTGATATGATAATTGCCAGACTAGATCAGACCTAGGTGTTAGTGGATGGACTGTACTTCCACCACAGGCCTATAACAGATCCTTTGGGTAAAGCTATAGGAAACCTCCAAGCAGAAAAATTTAGAATAATCCTCCTCTAGGAACTTCATCTTCTAATAGTTATGTGTTCCCTTAAACCCTAACACATGACATCTTATTTCATTTTCTTAAAACATTTTGTTAGTATTTATAACTCCAGATAATCATGTGAAAGAATTAGATGTCCTATGGTCTAGGCTGCAGAAAGTATTAAAGGTGCATGTGTATAGGAGTCCTACAGGAATCCTGTAGTAAAAAATAGGAGGAAAAAAAAGGTAATAATATATGCACTAACTATGATTATTTATACCTTAGGACAAAGGGATAGGCAACACAAAACCTGTTTATTTTCCATTTTCATTTTACCTCTTGTCATGTATTTATGAAGTTAGTTACTTATTTTGATGCCCCTGGTGCATTATGCTGTTGAAAGAGAGGACAATTGCAGAGGGGAAACGTTTCCTTTATTAAACACAGATTATCTAAGAAGCATTAGTATTTGGACGTAGAAAATTTTGGGACATTTATGGTAATCACACGGCTGCAAATGCTACTGAGATCTCAATGTAATAATAGCGCTTCTCTGTAGCCGTCGTTGTGATACTCAGCAATTGCGGCTTCCTCTGAATGTAAAAGCACTGACATCCCCGTAGCCAGGGTGTAGGGGTACTTCAGAGCAGTTTCATAATTAATGTACTTCTAGTCACATCAACTATGAAGACTGCACAAAAGATGGAAAGAGGAGTCATTTCTATCCTCAACACTTGCGACTTAGCAGTAGTAGATGCCAGAGTGGGACAAACAGCTTAAATGCACAGTTGCATCTTTGCAGGAGCCCCTTGGATTGCTCTTTGCAGACTGAGCCTCAGCTCAGAAAACTACCAGCCTGAAGCATTTCAGAAGCCCGAGGGACTGCATGGAAGGTGGGTGGCAAAACACAAGCTCTCAGCAAAGTCATCGGTGAGAGAGGTACCGTAAAGATTTGCTCAGAAAGGTCTAGTGTCTCCTCCAAGAGTAGAACAGAAGCTTGCTTTCTGCCCTGTCTCCTGTGGTGAGGGGCCAGCTCCTGACATCTGCCTCTCCCTGCTGCGAGGGAGACAGACAGATGTCGTCCTGCTTTACCTCCGCAGACCTTGGCTGGAGGAAAACCATTTCCACACCCCGGAGCATCACTTCACTTTGGTCATGTCCGTTATGTGCCGCTCACGTTTTGGGTCCGAGAAGCAGCATGCGTTGCCTGTTTGGAAAGGCAGGTCCCCGCGCTGCGGCGCGCACCTTGAGGCGACGGGGTGGCTGCGCCGGGACCCCC